ATTTTGTCTCTAATTAGTCTGATAACAAACTTTTAAAGAAAATTCATGAAGACATACCTTTATTCTAAGGTTTTGGAGGGAAAACTAGGAGTACACTAGAAAGTTTACATGAGAGAAACACTCATGATTTTTAGCTGAAGACACAAGTAAAAGACAATTTCCACTTCTTCTTCAACAAACAATTTCTAGAGAAGGAGCAAAAAGAAAGTAGTAGAAGTTTCCTAACAAAGAAAAAGAATTAAGTTTTTTACCAATTGGGGTCAGCCAGAATGATCACTTTTTTCTTTATTACTCCCTCCAAGGTATGTCTAAATGACCTGTCCCACCCAATTCTTAGATGCTCGGGGAAATTGTGATAAAGTTCAAATCCAGTTTTTCTACCAGAAGATCAGAAATCCATGCTAGGATCCAATAGATTATCTTTATATGCAAGGACACCAGATTACCCGTATAAAATCATCTTCCAGCCATAACGAACAAATCAAGTTGTTGCTCTGCATAAGTCCTTCCTATATTTTGTTCTCTGTGAACCCTCTTTCTAACAAATCTCTAGTCCTGTCACTCAAAGCTCTAAAACTAATATCTTCCAGCTGCGGTGGAAGATGAAGTAGTCATATATAATGGACTAGTGGTGCGGTACTTCTTAATTTTCCTCATTCCCCAATGTTTGGGAAAAAAGAATCTGGAACATCAAAAATAAACTGTATATTATTGTTGAAAGAGTAAGAGAAAAAGGGAAGTTATTGGAAGTGATACCCAAGTACAGACGGAAGTCTGAAACCACCAATTCTTACGCGCTTTAAGGAATGAATCTGGAGCAAGGGTAAAAGACCTTAGTATGTGTAATTATTGCATTAATCAAATAGAAACAAGGTTAATATGAAGTAGCCAATGAAACTAAACCAAGAGATGCTCCAATATTAGCAAGTTCATAGCAAAAAAGTGTTTATATAAAATTTTTAAATATTTTGGATGCAGTGGCTCAAAACAATCAATCAAACAGATAAAGGCAGGTAATGTACTGAATGAATGAATAATGACATTTGTAGAACATTTTTTTATTAAAATTGTGATAGTTCATTTTTTCTAAGGTGGACTTTGACCAAAATGAACAGGAAGTAAATAGCTAATTTTAGGTGAAACAATGCCGCCATAAATACATCAAAGCTGACCTCAAGTCCAGCATGTTTCACTAGTTCTCTTACTTCATGATTCCTCCCTTCATGAACCTGCAAAAGTCAAGTTTAATCAAAGCTAAGCTCCTAGGGTATTTAGGACTTGACATGCAGAAAGATGACAGTCAAAGCATCTTATAGGAGTTTTCTTTTTGTCAGAAAAAAATAAAAGGACTACTTGAACTGCAAATAAGGACCAAATGACCTCAGAGGTTGAAGATTTGCATTCTAGTTGAGGTTTTAGCAACCCAAATTCATCTACTAAAGCATCCACAGTACAAAAATTCATAGTTAATGACAGAATCAGGAGTGAAGATCAATTCATTATAGAATACCTTTTACATGGCTCATTTTTGCAGTCCCATACCATGTACAAAGACTTTTTCAATTAAACGTATCCCATGAACAGCCAGGGGCATTATGTGTCACCAAGGTAGTCAGACTAGATTTTATTTTGTGTTGTTTAATTTTTCTTGTATATACTTATTCTTATATATATAGACCAACTCACACGTTATAGGGATTTCAGATCAAATAAACCCAAGCTGGGAACACCAGAAGAGTGTCATTTAATTTATAATTTCAGCTCAAATAACATGGACAGCATATTCAGTTTACTTTATGATTCACAAAATTCAGCATTGAAAATCAGTATATCTTTTTCTGGCTCCTTTTATCAAATAAAAGGAAGGCAAAATGCTTTACACAACTTTGGATCTCAACAAAGACAAAATGGCAGAATGGTATCCCAACAACAAGGTCCATCGAAACAAAGGAGAGGATAGTCTAAAACATAGGTAATTTCAGCATCATTACAATAAAGTAATGAGATAATTATAACCAAACCATGACTGCAGGTATTCAAAATATTTAAGAATCCAAGGACAATTGAACAAATAAGTACCACAATACGGAGGCGAGGTCTTTCTATATCAGGCTGTCGAGGCAGTAATTCCACAGAATCTGGAGTGCAGTGGATGCCATCAATTACTGTCCCTTCATTGATGGCAATTAAATGTTTCTTATTTACAACTCCATCAATTGTTGCAATGTATCTGAGATTTCACAATGTTAACATGTAGATCATCAATATGAGCATCCAATGTTCATCACAACTATCACAATTTGAGTGTCAATAAAATAATCAGGAAGGCAAGGGGATGATATCATTTTTCTTAGTAACAGAAAAATAAGACCAACAAATTCCATCAAAAAGAATAACAAGTATACCAAGTAAACAGTTAACATTGGCTATCTCCAGGCATTTTTAGCTGGCGAAAATTTATTAGTCTTTCTATTGAGGACCTAAAGTTGAAACTATCCTTTGCTTGGGGTTAAGAAGGTTGGGCAAAGGGGACAAGGTTTTCCTGCAACCCCCCTCTTGCACCCACCATGACCAGAAAAAGTCAAACTTCTCTCTGAACCACTTCCAAGTAAATACTACTAAATTTATTCAGTTAACACGATAATTACAAAAGAAAAGGCAGCTCTGGATTCTGAAGCCTTACTCTTTCTGTAACCTGGAGGAAGGATGTGAAAGTTTCTGAGCAAACTCTCCTGGAAACAGAAAACACAAGACACCTTAAAATGAATTTGCTCAACTTCAAGTCTACATTCTATAAAACAAGGAATCATCAAACATTCACCAATAGCTTACCGTCATTAGTCACAATAATTAAACCAGTTGTGGCAACATCAAGGCGGCCAACAGTAAAGAGTCGAGGTTTGGGTATCCCTGGATTTCTTTTGTCCTAATTTGCAAGACATACAAACAAAATTTAAAGTAAACATTCCAAGGCTGGCAATAATTTCTTCTAAATTCTTGGCCAAATATACGGATGACTAGAAAAACATAGATCTGTGGTTGCCGCATTAACATACCCAGCTCTTCATATAATCGTCAAACAGAGTAATCACAGATTTAAATTCTTTCTCCCCAGATGAGCAAATGTACCTGTTATTATACGATTGCATTAATACCCTCCTAAATGTCAAAAAAGTGAAACTAATCCTGAAAAGCAGCAAGAGTCCAAGTAATCATGACAAACCCTTTTGGCTTGTTCAGTGCAAGATACACCTTTGGAGGAAGTTTTTTTGGAAGACGGTTACCATTGACATATATAATATCCCTTGCAGGATCAACCCTGGTCTGCACATTACCACAGGCATAAACAGCTTAGCTCTTCTTAACAAACTGTCCTAGCATATATAATTCCGAATAAAAAATCTTTTACCAAAAAAAGGTACAAAATCTACCATATCCCAGAAGAAACCATTAATAGTGACTTAATACAAGAAAATGCACAACAATTTGCCAAGTAACCAAAACCTGACCTGAGGAGTGTTACAAACAGAACCATTAACCGTGACTTTGCCATCAAAAATAAGCTCTTCACTACTCCTCCTAGATGCCACTGATAATACCATATTCACAAAATTACAAGACTTCCAGATAATTAATATACGTAAACCACTTTAAAAGATTGAACAGAGCCTTATAATTCACAAAAGAAACAATATGGAAAATTTTGAATCGCACAGAAATCAAAATGAGCATATATATGCGTGTGTATACAGAATTGTAGTATAATATACCTCCGGCAGCAGCGAGGACTTTGCTGAGGCGTTGGGGAGGGTCCCTGAAGTTCTGATTATAAAATCTTCGCGCCGCTTTCGAAAGCTTGGGCTCTGCAGACGACGACTCAAATTTCATTTTCTTCTTGTCCTTTTTCTTAGCATTCTGTGTTTTGGCGTCGGCGAGCGCGTGGATAAGGCGCGCCGGTGGGTGCGTCTGGAGCTTAAGATTGCCGTCCTCGCCGCGGACAATCCAAGGGATGAACAGCTGCTGCCCGCTACCACCAAGGAAATCGACCTCGTCTCCTTGTTGCTTTTCTTCATCGTCTGTTCTTTTAGGCGTTCGGGACTTGGGTCTTGGTGGTGCAAATGTAATGTTGAATTCGAGCTGAGGAGAAGAAGAAGGTGATGAAGACGATGAAGACGATGAAGAAGATGATGAGAGACAGCATGTGATGCGAGGAAACGTGCGGATGCATGTAAGGTACGGAACAGGCGTCTTGCTTTTAAGAAGTGAAGAAGAGAGTGACAGCGTTGCTGCTGCTATTACTGCAGTTGTCGTCGTCGTCACTATTGACGCCATTTTTGTGGTTCTTGGTGCTGTGGATACACAGTTGCAGGGGGTTGGAGAGGCTGCTTCTTCTTCTTTCAGTTGGAGGTAAATGGTCTAAACCCGAAACAGAAATTCTAAGCGGATCTCGCTCGCCCGACCCGCTTATAAATATATAATTTAATACATATACAAATTGTGGAAAATTAAATTAATAAATGTATGGAATTAAATTAAATATATATTTTTATTTCCAAAATTAGTTTAATGCATACATGTAATTTTTTGAGAGAATATTACATGCATGTAATGAATATAATATATATATATATATATGTATAAATATTTTATGTGTGTGTAAAATTAAATTTGTTTAAAATTAATTTTGTGTAAGTTAATTATTTCTATTATTAGTTAATACAAAAATTGAATTATTTCTAAAATTAACTTAATAAATTATAAATTAATTTTGTGGAAGGTGATTATTTCTATTATTAATTAATATAAAAATTGAATATTTCTAAAATTAATTTAATACATGCCTAAGTAGCTTAATGCCATAGATCTAATTGATTTAATGAATACATAGATGTGTATAAAATTAAATTAATTTAATATATGCATATAAATTAAGCATTTCCATTATTAATTTAATTATACATATATAAAATTAAATTAAAAATATTATGGGAACAATTGTTTCATATTTTTAGCTATAAAATACATGCATACATACACTAGATAAAACCAAATATTATGCACTTGTTAATCTCCTGTCATTTTGAAAGAGCATAGTCATTGCTAGTTTCATCAAAACCCATACACAATTTTCTTACATATACATGTCAACTAAAACTATATTTCCCACCCACAAACAAGTGTAAACCATTGAAACTTGCATTTCAGAGATTACTAACCACATCAATCCGCTGGAGCAGTTCCAATATACTTCCAGCTTTTCTCTTGGCCCTATCAGTGCCAGTTTCAGACAGTTCCTTCAATGCCTCTTCCGCACCGAGTTGCCTTGCTGCATTCAATTGTACCAAATCACCAGTGCACAGTGACCACAATATGGCTGCAGCATTCTCCCGGTTTCGTGGTGACCCAGTTCTTATAATTTCCATTAGGACCGGGATCGGCTCAGCTTGACCAATTGCAGTCTTTCCTTCTTGGTGACCAGCGAGAATAGCCAGAATTGCCAATGCTTCGTCCACCATTCCGCCTCCAGCATCCTTTAAGAATCTCACTAATGGTGTCACAATGCCAGCCTTCACAGCCCTTGCCTTGTTGCCTTGATAGATGCAGAGATTGAATATGGCAGTGGCAGCATCCTTCTTTCCTCGTGGTGTCCCATCGCAAAGCAACTGTATGAGAGCTGGGATTGCTCCAGCTGCTCCTATAGACATCTTATTATCGTCTACAACAGATAAACTAAAAAGTGTGGCTGCTGCATTCTCTCTGGCTTCCATGCTGCCTTTTTTCAGCACGTCTACTATATCAGGTATGGCTCCTGCATTTACTATACTTCCCTTATTACTATCATTTATGGAAAGGTTGAGAAGAGCTGTCACAGCATGCTCTTGAGTGCGAGGATCTGCGGAAGATAATAACTCAACAAGTAGGGGAATGGCTCCAGCTTCAGCAATGCTTACTCTATTATCTGCATTCCTCTTTGCTAACAACCGTAGCTCACCAGCAGCAGCTCTCTGTTGTTCTGGATTACCATTTGCCAATTTTTCTAGTAAGATAACAACAGCATTTCGATCACAGTCTGAAACGCTGCCTCCTGGTTTTTTGGTTCTACAATTCCCTTGATTTTTTGGCAGCTCAACACCATTGCTCTCACACCAAAGAGCAATTAGACTTTTCAAAACATAGTTAGGTGTCAATGCTGTGTGCAACAGAGTCTGCTGCGTTTTGGGACAGGTTCTATGTCCAGCATCCAGCCATTTCTGAATGCATGATCTTTCATATGTCTACAGAAGAAAGAAAGAGTTAAATAATGCAACAGATAAGATGCAAAATTATGAAGTATCAAATATAAAGTTATTTTCCAGTTAAAACCTGTCCAGTTGAAACGATAACTGGATCTTTCATCAGTTCAAGCGATATTGGGCACCGGAAATCATCAGGGATAACAGGAGATCTGTGTCTGAGAAATATTTTTTCACCCTCAGAAGTGTCACCTTCAGGGCTTTCGACTGACACACAGTCCTTTAGCTTCCTAAGGAGGGATGACATTTTCTCAACACCATCACCTGCTTCCCCAGCACTTGCGACAACCAGTTCATGGATCGCGAGTGATTCTTTTTTTAGATCATTGATGGTCCTGAGTTGCAATTTTTCCGAAATTCTTCTCAATACTGTAGGGTCAGTCTCTCTTTCTTTTTGTGCTATCGCTAAATCGAGGTCCAGTTGTAAATCGGGTGAGTCAGGTGTCTCTTTTGCTCTTCTGAACTGTGCATGCACAAGTTCAATCTGAGAACAAAGACACAATAAGTTCATACTAATTGTCAGTACAGGTCCACAGGTTTCATCATTAAAAAATTCCTAATGATTTGAGTGTCAAAGAAATTAAAAGGAGAAAAGAAAAGGAAAGAACAAAGATCAAAATAGAGAATTTTGTTTAACCATTCTGTGGAAATCAACTGAACTGAAAAATACCTGTTCTTGAACTTCCTCTGTTAACTCAAGCTTATCATAAGGAATTTGGCTTAATGCTTCTTCAATTTGTTCTGTCATTTCCTGGAATTTATATGCAATATTCTCCCTTTGCAAAACCTGCAGAATGAGAAATGTTGCTTAGTAATAATATAAAAGAATCTGCAGGAGTATTGATCCAAGAAAAAATATCTGCAAGACTGAATTATTTGAAAAAACATGAAAGACCTAAAGCACAAACGTTTGATGCTTCCACAGTTACATTCATTCCGTAAGTGATCATAGAAAGTACCAGTGAGAAACATCCTACTCATCAAAATCCAATTACACATACTAAAAAAGGAAAGAAAAAGAAAAAAAAGAAACAAATCTTAGAGAATTCCAAAAAATAAGAAATGAGGAAGATACATAGATGGACTTCTTTTCTTGAAGTAAATAATTTCAGATTTGATCCAACAAATGAACATTCCCAAGTTTAACATCTTGGGAAATCCTACAACCTATATACCAAGTCAGAAGGCCCAATCCTTGACCAATCAAAAGTTCAAATCCCTGATTCAGGTTAGGATTGTGAAATTAGAGAATTTCCTAGGAGTTCAGCAATACTAAAACCACCTTCATGTAAGAGTAGTTTTTCTTTGATTCATGATCAAACTCAGTTCTTTTAAACCAAAACAACATAAGAATACTCAAAATTTTCAACCTAGGCGCTATAAATTCACATGATGTAATCATTTAACTGATACCAACTTTCCATTTATTCAAGTTCCACGATAAATCAAAAGCCGAAAGCAGTAAATTTTCCTTCTTCTTTCCCAGCAACCAAACAGAAAACTACAACCAAACAAATTACCTGGTAGAGCTTACTCCCTCCGTTGACCGACTGGAGAAGCTCTTTAGACGAATCCAAAGCGATCTTAAGCATTTCAAATCCTCGAATCTCTTCTTCGTCAAATTCTTCACTGCCATCCTTCAATTCCTCAAACAAAGAGCTCAACAACTTGATTCTACGTACCAAATCTCCATGCATCCTCTTGCATATGTTCTTGCACTCGGGCAACCTGGAGATCTCCTTCACTAACTCGGCAATCCGACTCACTAATTCGCCCCGAGAGTCTTCCATTAATCCCATATGGGTTCCACCAAAACTCAATTTTGAAACTCTGACCGGAAAGCAATCCACAAAAGAAACTGGAAAATTAGAATAAATAATTGATAACCAAGGTTTATGATCGATATAAAATAGACCCGGATGATGGGATCGAGTGAATTTCAATGGGTTCCTTGTAGATCAAGAACA